TTATTTTTTTAAAAGTGTTTTTTTCCCCCCTTTTTTTCCCTTTTTTTTTCCCTTTTTTTTTTTCCAGTTTTTGCAACCCAGGGGGAAGCACCCCTTGATGCAGTGGGACAGGGAGCCCCCCGGGGGCCGATGCTGCCCCGGTAGCGGGAAGGGGCTGCACAGCCCACGCAGGGGGCCCGGAGCGCTGCCCCCTCACCATCCTCCTCCTCCTCATGCTGCTACCGTGAACGGGGCTGAGTCCCAGATCCAGAGTCTATTTTGGCCCTGTCCTTGTCCCCAGCCTCCCCTGGCTCCTGTCCCCCCTGTCCTATTTGCAGCCGTCCCCTCTGGGGACCGCATGGGTCTATCCAGGTGCCGGCGTCCTCCGTTATGCAACGGGCCGGGGGGCAGCAGCGGGGCCTGGGAAGCGCGTGTCGGATGCGGGATTTTTCCGCGGCACCGCGGAAGGGCCCCTTGCATCCCGGCCGCGCTCCGGGGTGTCTCCGGGCAGGGATGCGCCGGGCGCGGGCGGCTCGAGGCGGCACAAGGCGCAAAGCCCCTGCCATTCCCAAAGCGGCGGCTCTGCCGGAGGCTGGGAATGCTGGAGGCCCCTTTGCTGGAGCTGTTCTGGGTGCCAGGAGGCTCAGGGTGGGCTCAAGGCTTGGTTTCCCATAGGATCCTGCCTTGATTCCCCCAGATCCCACCTTGTTTTCCCCAAGGATCCTGCCTTAGTTTCCTAGGATCCTGCCTTGTTTTCCCCTAGGATCCTGCCTTGGTTCCCTAGGATCCTGCCTTGCTTTCCCAGGATCCCAGCTCAGTTTCCCCTAGGATCCAGTCTCTGTCTCCTCACGGATCCCCTGGATGGCTCCAGCAGGGTTAAAGCCAGAGCCATTAAACTGAGCTCCGGATAAAGGGAAGGAAGGAGGGAAGAAGCCACCAGGAAGGATGCTCGGCTGCCCGGATTGGCCGCCGATGACATCACCACCCCGCAGGCGCCCAATGGGAGAGCCGCCTGCACTCCCCAAATATCCCCGGCACCGCGGATCCTGCCGGGGGCTCATCCGCTCCCTGGATCATCCTGGGAAAAACCCCTGGGGGTTCCCCCGGCTCCGCTCGCGCCGCAGGGAGCCGGGATGGCCAGATCCGCTTCCTGTGGGATGCGGGGAGGAAGCGGAGCTCAACGCCCAACCCCGCTCCGCCTCGCGCGCAGCCCTGGGCTCGTACAGCGCCAGGATTTGCTGCAAAGCTGCCTTTTTTTTTCCATGGAAAAGCGGCCTTTTTTTTTTTTTTTTCCAGCAGAAAGGAGCTCCGTCAGGGAAGCTCTGGCATTGCAGATGTGCCCAAGTGGGCAACGCACACCCTGGCTGGGAAACCCCAGCTCCTGGGATGCATGCAAATCCTTGCAAGGAAATCCCAGCTCCCAGGATCCATGCACATTGTTGGAGGAAAATCCCAACTCCCAGGATCCATGCACATTGTTGGAGGAGAATCCCAGCTCCCAGGATCCAT